GTTATGTTAATCACCATACATTACATCATTAGTTTTTGATGTAGTGTTCCATGATTCATTGTTTGCGTATAACACCCGGTGCTTACCTTTCTAAAAGCTTTACATTTCAAGAAATCACGGAATTACAGGGCCATCCCAGAGCTTTACACCCTGAGATAATTAACAAAAAGAGAGAAACACCCTATCTGTTTTTCTTTTATTTATTTAAGTAATCTCTACAACCCAACATGGGGCTCTGACTCAAGAGTCAGATGCTCTTGTGACTAAGCCAAATGCCCCTTGTTTTTTTTAATCAAAGACAGAAATGTGTGTTTTTTAAATCAAAGCCGATTAAAGTGAATGCAATCAGAATTACCAACTGCCATGAACAAATATGGACTGTAAATATCACCATCTCTATATTCTGTGAGCCAATAGGTTGATCTAAAAGCTAGTCTTTGCTCTGTGCTTTTTGCAAGTAAAAACTTAGCTCAGAGTTCAAAAATTATCTAGGAGTTTTTCTCTTTGACAAATCAAAATCGACAAAAATACTGAATATATTAATAGTCCTGGCTAACAAAGATAATAAAATAAGCTTATTATGTATGTGTTGACTCTCAGCTTGTATTAATTCAATGGGTGACAGGTATCCTTACAAAGAAGCAAAAATTCATCAAAGCAGTCGATCCTGAGAAGGCACTTATCCATTGTTGGCAAAACATTTAGTTCCCTATTAATTATATATAATCCTTTAAAAATTTTCCTGGAGAACTTTGATAAGTAGGTTGTCCTCCACACTCACAAGAAATTGCTTCTAAAGAAACAGAATCCCCAAGTTTACATAACGACAGTGGAGAGTCAGAAGGTGACAGGAGCCCAGAAGAGTCCTTGTTTTTTCTCAGTTGGCATGTGGTTTCTTTTTCAATCCCCTCCTTTCCTCTTTCCTTCTTTCAGTCACGTAGGAAAGAAGGAGGGATGAGTTTAACTTCCTGGAGTGAATGTAAGAGCTGGATTAGAAAAGACAAGTTAGCCTAGTTAAACTAACTTGCCTGACTTCTGTTTCTTGACACAAGTCTGACTGATACAGAAATTGATATCAGGAGTGGGATCCCCAAAAACAGACCTCAGAGGACTTTGATATTGGTTTGATTTGATCCATAATGCAGTTGCATCACCATTAATCAAATTAATGCTGGCTGCTGATTATAATAAAGTATCCACTGAAGAAGTACCTTAAGGGACCAAGTGGCTGTCACATTTGAGTTGGGCAGAAATGATGAATACAAAGATTGTGGTATGGCATGGCTTCTTCTGAACACACTGGAGCATTTACAGAAAGAAAATGACAAGCTTGGGTCTTTAAAATTGCAGCTCCCATTTATGAACAGAGAACTTCTATGGCAGCCCTAATAAAAACCTCTATATGTTTTATAGCCACAGGGCTCCCCTTGCTAACATCAGATTTAACTGTGCCAGGTGCAGAATTACAATGTGTAAACTGAACTCCACAGACTCACCATGTCTCATGTATGAAAGTGAAAACACTGAATGAGACTTGGGATGGGGATATCTGCGTGGACTCAACTGATGCCAAGGATCTTGAACCCCTGAGCTATTCTGAGCCTCCTTTGCCAGTGCAAAGAGAAATAGCCTGCTCTCCTATGTCAGAAGAGATTAGCTTTCCCTGGATTGAAGAACCTGCATAACCTCATGATAACTCTAAGGGCAATTGCAAGAGAATTCCTCTTCTCCTCAAGACCCAATGAGACCATCCCTTACTGCTACTCATAACAGGGTAAGATCACAGCATTCTTTGAGGAACAAGTATAAAGTCAGATCCATAAGATAATAACTGACACACAAAAATAGTTGCAAAAGTTTGCTAATTTGTATTGGCAGATACCTAGGAAACCTGTATGAGAATGATTCTAAGAGTGTTAGGCCAAGGAAAACATAATACAATACCAGACTGGGATAGTTTTTAAAATATGAATCACTTACCAGAGATTTAGCTTATACAACTGGAAGGGGCTCTAAGATTTAGTTAACTTGGTTGGCTGACTGCAACTTGGACTCCATGACGGCCCTCCATTTAGTAAGTTTGGGAGGAAACAACTTCCCTGGCGTGATACAGAGGCAGGGATTCAAAGGCTCATTTAGAAATGCTGGAGTGGATTTATCTTGTGCAACCTGCACACACAACGCCTCCACCACTACACCCCCTAAGAGGGCCCAGTGGATACTCTCATCACCTAAGGCTCCAGCTGCTAACTGGAGTGCCATTATGTGGGCAAGAGGTTATTAGTCTGGCCCTTTAACACCCTGTCAGTCATAAAATTCACCACCTTGCTACAAAATGAGAACTTCTCCATGTTCTCTCCTTGTTTGTTTCTTTCATGGCACTATTACAAACTGCAATTATTTATTTGTCTGATTTGCTTTGTTTTGTTTTTTGCTTTTCTACCTGTTTTTTTTCTCTGTCTCCTCCACTAGCGTGTAAGTTCCATGAAAGCAAGGAGTGCCTCTGTCATGCTCACCACTGTATGCGGACTATCTAGGACAGGACCTGGTGCACAGGCATTTAATAAAGATGTGCTGAAGGCAGAAACAGAGTTAGTCTGTCTCTGTCAACATTAAATTCTGGTCCTTCCTTCTCCTGGAATAGATATGTTCATGAAAACACTATCCTGCCAAAGAGATGATTTACGTCTGAGCTGAAAACCTGTACAGATGTATGTAATCTCCTCTTTGTATTTCTTCAGCTTAGAACTGATGACCTGGTCTGCTGATACCACCTTTCTCATTAAATTTATATGATGCCCAGGAAAACATAATAAAGGTCAATTCAGTGCATCACTATCTGTCCCTTCATGAAAATGTTTGAACAGAATCCCGTCTTTATCCAGAATGGCATCTCTGCCCACAGTCACATGTCACCTCCTATCACAAGTGAATAAATTCTCAAATATCATTAAAGTATACTTCTGGCTTGTTGAGCAATTTTTGGTACAGGCTGGAGCACTTTCTAAAAGACTGTCATGAGGTAGCTTTTACTTGTCTTGGGATCAAGATGGTGGTTTGTTCAGATCACAGCATTTCAAAATTCAACATTCCATTTCATCAAAGGTTCTATTTTTCACCTATGAACCTTTACTTCCAGCAACTAGTAAATGCTTTCATTAACAGCCAATTTTATCTACACATGCACAAACCCAACATATATATATTATATCAGTTATACACAGAGTAAGAGTTAATTATACACATGAGCACAAGTAACTAAGAAAGAAACAGTGTTAAGATCCAGGCAAACATACGAAGTTCAACTACTATCTAAATTAACTGCCTCAGGCTCATTAGTGCCATGGTTTCATTCAAATTCCCACCTTAGCCAAACTGCAAAATACTGTATGTCTTGGACCTTCAGGGTTGTGTTTACATAATTCAAAACTTGAAAGTTAAAATCCTTAAATGCCAAAGATGTAAAGATCTATGACAGCAACAGGGTTTAAGAAAAAAAAAAAAGATTTAGCATACTTAATATTAGTATCTATAAGGATCTGTTTTTTACATAAAGATTAAGTGCATTTATATGTAATCTGTCCAGAAGAACCAGTTACGGCCTGGAAAGAAACAATAACAAAAATATATACCTCACAAGGATGTCTGAAAGATAAAAGAGGATAATACATCTGAGGGAATAAATAAATAATAAAGCACCATATAAATGTTAATAGTAGGTAGTAATGTTAATAATAAAATATAGTATGTGGTATGCCTTCAGCTTACACAATGTTATATATCAATTGAGATATCTCAATAACGCTGAAAAAAAATACAGTAGAAATCCTCTCTCCTCTGAAAGAATTGGAGCAGTTTATTAGTTGGCTACTCATAGAAGTGAAAGCAGGAATCCTAGAAAATGACAAATACACATTGTAACCATTTTATTTAATTTAAACCTTACATAAGTGTAATTCATTCACCAGTTCTCTGGGTAGGACCCCTGCCTTACATTTGAGTTTAGATCTGCGGACCGGTATTCCAGACTTTCCTGTCTCACCCGTGCCCATAATGCATCATTTATGATCGCAGATCTAGTTCTTTTAAAGTGCAGCGAAAATTTCAACATACACAAAACAATCGGAGAGCAAATTTCTTACTTTTTATCATTTTTTCCAATTATTTTACATTTGTCTTGTTCACCGCTAATTTGACAGTCAATTTCTGAAAGAACTTGCTTTTCTCACTTTTTTCAGAGCATTCAAATTCGTTTTTGTAGAAATAACTCCCCCTTTTTACACAAATACCGCATCAGTGTGTGGAATATTAAATAATAAATGCACTCAGCATAACTTTGGGAACAAACATAGCTGACTCTTAAAGCCAATAAGTTGACTTGGGGGGGTAAAAGCACAAAAGCGTCACACTGAGAACCTGACCAGCCGCCAACAGTCAGCATGCTGGGAACAGCAGTTAGTGTGTTCTACCAAGGAAATGGACAGCACTGCTTTATCCATCAGGTTGGTTAATTAGACATGAGTTAAGAATCTTTGCTATATAGTAATTCAGGTCTCAAGCATAGCTGCCTAAGAAGAAAGCTCAAAAGATTCCCTCTCGTATGTAGATAGACTGCCTTCTGTATTTTTCTTCAATTATATATGATTACATTTAGAGGCAATGATGTCAAAGAGTGAAAAGAAAATGCAAGAATACTGAAATAAAGCAACAGAAAAGGAATTCAGGTGTTTAAGTAGAACATGATAAAATAATCAGAGAATCTGGCTCCTAACAACAACTAAGTGAGTCAGGAAAAGACACTTTAAGGAAATTTTAACAGTCCCATATTAATTTGAAAAAAAAATGATGATCCATTTTAAAGCATCCCTTTTAATAACATAAGAAGCTTTCTGAACTATAAAGAAATACGTCAGTGCTAGATACCTACTTGAAAACATTCAGCTTAGATTAGCTGTATTCCTTTCATAAATATGAAAGAAGAGGGTGTGTGAAAAACTTACTTATTTCACTGGAAACTTGATTCAGTTTATCCTGTGATCTGCTGATAAGGACAACCTTCATTCCATGTTTCGCTAACTGAAACAATAAAGAACACCAAGCAGTTGAACCACACCTGTACATTTCATTTAAAAACAGAAATCAGATATATTCTCATTTTAAGAAAACCTGATAATATGGTAAACCCAACTAAAAAAACCAATAAACCTAAGTTATAATGAATGGGCAATCCAAAATGAAGACTTTACAAAAGGATTCCCCCAAAGGGCTATCTTTCTGAATCAAGTTAGTATATAAATGTCAAAGGGTCTCAGAAGGAGTAAAACTTCTATTTTCATTTTGTACCCATCTACACTGCTTTAGTTTTTAAAATCATAAGTACTGGGGCATCTGGGTGGCGTAGCTGGTTAAGTGTCTAACTTGGTTTCAGCTCAGGTCGTGATCTTAGGGTCATGAGATTGAGCCCTGCATGCAGAGTCTGCTTGAGTTTGTCTCTTTTTCTTCCTCTGCCCCTCCCATTCATGATCGCACTCTTTCTCTAAAATAATCTTTCATAAATAAAGAAATAAAATCGTAAGTATCTATTACTTCTATAATTTAAAAGTCAGCTTTAAAAAATATTTTGTTTTGGACTGGATACATAAAGACTGAACGACTGGCAACAAGGAAGATTTAAAAAGATCCTCTGTTGGAAATGACGAATGAGAAATCCAGTGGATCTGCCAAGATTGTCATCACAACTGGGCAGTATCATAAGCTGCGGTGCTTCAGCGGAACCAGAGGGCAGGGAAGCTTGCCTTAAAGAAGTACTACCAATGCTCCTGCTTTGTACAATGGCCCTCAAACTACATGGTCCCTATGCTTTCATGACGTTGCCCTTTGCCCATGTCCATCAATATCTTTTTGTCAATTATAGTCTTATTAACAAAATGATGCCATGGACTAGCCTGGAAATAAAACTATTCCATAATAATACAGCCACCTTTTGGAAAATAGTTCAAAACAACTGACTTTAAAACTAAGGACTGTCCATAATTACACAATATAAAATAAAACTATGCTACATTTTCCCCAATTCCAATTTACTGGGAAAGTTTTATACTCATTTTTGCACAAAAATTTATTTTAAAATTGTCTTTGAGCAAGCGTGGTGTTTCTGATTAGAAATAAAGTATATCTATTGTACTATATAACACTGTATTTGTTTTTAACTTCAACAATCAAAGCAACTATAAGAGATAATCCTGTATTTGTTCTTTTATTTTTATACAAAAAAAAAAAAGATCTTGAAAATTACCTACCTCTTCTGCATATGATTTTCCAATTCCATCAGTACCACCTGTGACAACTGAGAAAAGAAAAAAACAGTTTAGGTTAAGAGCTGCAATGAAGAACCAAGCATAGTTAGGACCCACCAGTTATACACCAGAGGACCTGTGTAATACTTTGATGTAAAAGATGAAGCAACACTAGTGATTGAAATTTAAGATGGAATACCCACCACAGTGGCTAAAATTTAAAAGACTGCAATACCAAGTCTTGACAAGGTTATGGAGCAACTGGAACTTTCATACATTGCTGGTGGCACTGTAAATTGATACAATCATTTTGAAAAAAAGCTATTTGGCATTATGTCCAGAACTAAACATATGCCTACCCTGTGACCTAGCAATTCCCAAGAGGTATGAACGCATCATGTCTATCAAAAGAATGTTCATGGTAGCTTTATTTATGTGTAATAGGTAAACATGCCCAAACATTGATCTACAAGAGAATAAGTAAACAGAGGTATGTTCATATAATGGAATACTAAATAGCAATAAAAAAGAACTACCGATATATTCAAAACATGGACAAATCTCCCAGACATTATGCTGAGTGAAAAAAGCCTGACACAAAAGCATCCAAGTTGTTATGATTCCATCCATGAAGGCCAAAAAAAAAAAGGGTAAAACTAATCTACGATGACAGAAATCAGAATATTGATTACCTGTGGGTGAGGGGGTAGATGACAAGGAAGGAACATTAAGGGACCTCTGGGGTAGAGGATGTATATCCTGTATCTTGATTTGGGTGCGTAAGTATGTAAAAATTCACTTTAAAAATGCATATTTAAGTATATATCTGTTATACCTTAATGAACTTAATTTTTCAAAATTATGGGCAATAAAAAAATTGAGTAAGATTGATTTCTTCTATGGGAAAGTGCATTTCTCTTACAAGCTCAAAAACCTTTTTTTTTTTTTTTTTTTAAGATTTTATTTGTTTATTTGGGGGCGCCTGGTTGGCTCAGATGGTTAAAAGTCTGCCTTCGGCTCAGGTCATGATCCCAGAGTCCTGAGATTGAGTCCTGCATTGGGCTCCCTGCTTGGTGGGGAGCCTGCTTCTCCCTCTCCCTCTACTGTTCCCCCTGCTAGTGCTCTCTTGCTCTGTCAAATAAATAAGATCTTAAAAAAAATAAAAAAAGATTTTACTTATTTGAGAGAGAGAGAGCGAGAGAGAGCACAGAGGGAGAGGGAGAAGCAGACTTGCCACTGAGTGGAGAACCTGAAGCGGTGCTTGATCCCAGGACCCTGGGATCATGACCGGAGCCAAAGCAGACACTTAACCAACTGAGCCACCCAGGCCCCCCTCAAAAACCTTATGTAGCAGAAACATTTGAAAATTATAATGGGTCAGGCTTCATCATGGTATCTTATCTCTGAAATACTGTAATGATGCTTGTTACAAATTCAGAGCATAGCCATTTCCTCCAAATTGTTAGGGATGTGCCTCAAACTTCTCTATGAGATTTTCCAAACCATTTACAAATTATGGAAAACAAGTTATGGAGTAAAGTAGGATTTTCTTATATTTGTCCTAAAAACACTTTTTCAAATTACCAAAGGGCAAACATATCAAAAAATAAAAACAGTATAACAAACCCAAATGTACCCATGACCCAGCTTCGAAGACTATCAACTTGATTTTAACTAATCTTGCTTCAACTACACCTCCACCCACTTCCTCCCATCTCAGATTATTTAAGTAAATCAATAACATCATATGACTTCATAAGAATTTCAGTATATGTTATTTAAAATAACCACAATACCATTATCCTGATTCCTAAACTGGAAATCATAAATCCTAATTATCTAATACCAAATCAAACATCAATTATCTAATCAGTATGTAAATTTTCACAAGTGTTTCAGAAAACTTCTAGTAATTTGGTCAAATCAGGATTAAATAACTTCCATACTTAAAATTGGTTAATGTCTATTAAATCTCTTTTAATCTATAGGTCTATCTATCCATCTACCCTTCTATATCTATTTATTCAACCTCCATCTCTCTCTCCTCCCCTTTACTCCTTCTCCCTCCCTTCCTCCCCCCACCCCCAACTTCCCTACTAGTTGTTGAAGAGATTGGGTCCTATTACTTTCCCAGCCTGGCATTTGCTGATTACATTCCCCTGATGTCATGTAACATGTTCTTCTGTCCCCTAGTGGTTACCTATCAATGCTTGATCAAATTCAAGTTTGATTTTTTTGGTAAGAATACTTCAAAAGTGATAATGCATATTTACATCAGGAGGCTCATGTCTGGTTATCTTTCTTTCTTGTTTTATTAGCAGGCATTGATCACCACTGAGATACAGAATTTCATTAGAGGTTGCAAAACTGATCTTTGTGTTTTTTACAGTTTTGGGGGGTGGGAGAGAGAGTGAGTGTGCACTGGGGAGGAGGGGCAAAGGGAGAGGGAGAGAGAATCTTAAGCAGGCTCCATGCTCAGCTCTGAGCCCAACAAGGGGCTTGATCTCTCGACCCTGAGATCATGACCCGAGCTGAAACCAAGAATTAGATGCTCAACCAACAAAGCCATGCAGGCGCACCCCCTCTTATATTTTCATCCTTGTTCTAAATCCTGTGCTCACACTGTTATCTCCTGCTTCATCAATTTTTATTACTTATTATAATTGATGGAACACCCACTCCTCTTTATCTTCCACCTCCTTCCAATGAAATTGTATCACAAGACTCTGTCAATACTCAGTGTGTACATTATTAAAATAATGCAACTCAATTCTGACACTAACCATAGGACATGGGCCCCAGCAAAACTGCCCACACTTCGGGTATCAGTTGCAAGTTCAGAGATCCCGACAGGCACCCACACTCTGACTGACTACAAAATTCAGGGTTCCCACAATTCCTCGGGTTCAGCAATTCACTAAACAAGTCACAGGACTTGGGACAACTTAACGATTTGTGATTACAGTTTTTAAATAAAGGTTACAAATCAGGACCAACCAAATGAATAGTCACATGGGGCAAGGTCTAGGAGGGTCCTAAATGCAGAGCTTCTGTGCCCTCTCTGAATCAGAGCACTTCACCCTCACAGCACACCAATGTGTTCACCAACTAGGAAGCCACATCAAGCTTCAACGTCCAGAATTTGTAATGGGCTTCATTACAAAGGCATGGTTGACTGCATCACTGACCATGTCACTGAACTCAACCTCCAACCCCCCTTCCCTCCCAGAGGTTGGAAGGTTGAGCTGCTATCACATGGCTCAGACCTTCAATCTTCTAATCACATGGTTGGTTTTTACGGCATGACCATCCCCCATCTTGAAGCTATCCAGAGTCCCACCATGAGTCCTCTCATTGGCATAAAGTATCAGGGCCTGCCATGAATAATAAAGACAATCCTATCATTCAGGAAATTCCAAGGAGTTAGATTCTCCCCACCAGAAACCAGGGATGAAGGCCAAATTCTTTATTATACAACAATTACTGTGGCTAGGTAAATATATTATTCACTACTGAACCAAGTAATATAGTATAATTACATTTCCTTTCTTGGTCAACATTTTTCTTTTCCTGTGGTTCAAATTGCCTTTTTCTTCCATTTGCATAGTTTTCTTTTTAAATCTTCTCCCAGGTGCTCCTGAGTGGCTCAGTCGTTAAGCGTCTGTCTTTGGCCCAGGTCATGATCCTGGGGTCCTGGGATCGAGCCCTACATCGGGCTCCGTGCTCAGCGGGAAGCCTGCTTCTCCCTTTCACACTCCCCCTGTTTGTGTTCCCTCTCTCGCTGTGTCTCTCTCTGTCAAATAAATAAAATCTTAAAAAAATAAAATAAAATAAAAATAAATCTCCCATTCCCTAACAGCCTCTCAGTACAATTTTCCACACAACCAATCCCATGAATTTTTTTTCCTTTGTTTTTCCATAGAGATTACTTTCCCAGAGCCCTCCAGCTTTTATCCTGTTCCTCCTTGGAATGGCTACTCTGCTGCACAGCTGTTGTTCTAGAACATAACCTTGGGAATTCCCTTGGCCTCTCTCTCCTGTGTTGAAGCTCTTATTTCTAGATCTTGTTCTAGTTCCTTATTAGGGAGCACATCCACCAGTAGCTTTCCAAGGATAGATGCATGAAGACACATTTTTGTAAACGTATTTTTTAAATAAACTTTTTATTTTAGAACAGTTTTTTAGACTTACCAAAAACTGTGAAGATAATACAGGGAGATCTCTGTATTTCAAGTCAGTTTTTCCTACTGCTAACATCTTACGTTTGTCACAATTCATGAACAAATATTGGTAGATTATAGAAGTCCCCTCTTTTCCATGGGGGATACATTCCAAGACCCCCAACGATGCCTGAAACTATGGATAGTACCACACCTTATATATACTATGGTTTTTCCTAGACATACATACCTATGATAAAGTTCAATTTGTTAGGCATAGTAAGAGATTAACAACATTAATAATAAAATAGAACAATTCTAATGTACTATAATAAAAGTTATGTGAATATGGTCTCTCACGCAAAACCTTATTGTACTATACTCAGCCTTCTTCTTGTGATGATGTGAGATAAAATGTCCACATGATGAGCTGAACTGAGATGAATGATGTAGGCATTATGATATAGGCTACTATTTACCTTCTAACAAGATGTCAGAAGGAGGATCATCTGCTTCTGGATCACAGTTCACTGCAGGTAACTGAAACTGCAGAGAGCAAAACCTCAGATAAGAGGGGGTTCTACTGTACTATCAACAAAAGTCCGTATCTTTTTCATATTTTCTTGTTACTGAATGTCCTTCTGTTCTATGATGACATCCAGAATATCCTATTAAATTCATGTGACAGCTTAAGAGAAACTTTTTTTGACAACTTAAGAGAAAACTTTTTGATTGTGTATGTCTTTTTTTTAGAACGTCTATATTCTAACCTCGTACATAATATTTTAACTGGGTATAAAATTCTAAGCAGGAAATCATTTTTTTCTTTTTTTTTATTATGTTAATCACCATACATTACATCATTAGTTTTTGATGTAGTGTTCCATGAT